CAGAAAAGGTGCAGAAGCCGCCATTATCTCTGGGCAGCAGAGTTCGGAAGAAAATGAATGGAGATCTTCTAATGAAGGTTGCTATATTGTAACCAGCTGAATGAAGTAACTGTTGAAAACTAAAGATTTTGGTATTCAGTTTTAGGTGAAGATCTTACTTCCACATGGAATAGTTCTGTTCCCATAGACGATGTCCCATATGCAAAGGATGAAAAAGATGTCACGGAAGAGCAAATTCAAGCAGGTTAGTTGCTTCAGCATTTAGTTGATAGAGTTGGGCATAGGCGTATATTCGGTTTCGTGGTTATTCGTTCATACTCTGCATTTGCAGATGAAACGCCAGTCTCAAAATCGGAAGCGTTGCGAAAGGTATGTTTGGCTGCATAATTGTAGTCATTCTCATTTATGTCACTAGTCAAAACATTTGGTCATCCAGTTTTTGTGAGAGTTGTATATCATCACGATGTCAGGCTGCTGAAGAAATGTGCACAGACCTTATTGGAAACTGTTTGATATATTTCAGAAGATTGAAACTGATATACCCCTTTCATCTGGCGAGGCTAAAACAACCGAACGCGCATCGCCAACTATAGATGGAGGAAAGGCAACGATGAAGGATTCTCCTTTCACGCCTTCGATAGAGCGTGTGGATCCGGCTGAGAAGCCTATCATTTCTTTTGATGCGGACGACAATCCTGATGGTTTTGACGGCGATCAATTTGATCGAGTTAGTTTCCTCATTTTTTTTTTGATCTGAAGTGTTTCTAATTTTTGATGTTTAGCCGAAGGTTTACACGACGACGCGCGAAATGGTATTTTGCACCAAGACGTTCGATGGAGAAGATCTATCAGAACCATCTACAGATGATGACATTGCTGGAGTTTTTATGCGCTCTGCAGATCGCGAGACAACTATCGAAAAGGTTGTTAACTCACAAAGCTAAGTCGCTTTCATAGCAAATGCTGTTTTTAGAAACTAAGCATCAATGGCTGTGAGCAGCCGGCTGAAATCAAGTCAAAGGTCTGTCAATTATTTGCTATTTACCCTATAGGTTGTTGCATTTATCTCAAAGCTTCCAAATTTAGTTCGCAACTCCTTCCCAGGATTCTGTCAATCAGATGGCTAAAATGGAAAATCCGTTGCCAGACAAAGAAATGATCGTTTCTGATATCGCTGCAGTGAATTTGCG